GAGCTCACTTCCGATTTCTTACTCCCGTGGCGCTTACAATCTTCAAAAAAATTAATGCAACGTTAATCGCAATCTTCTAACTGAACATTAAAAGTTTTCTCATTCTATTTCACATCCTGTAACCCCAACCACGCGTCTTAGTGGCATTATCGCCTTGCTTAGGAGTGAAACGATATATATATATATATATATATATATATATATATATATATATATATATATATTACTTGCATAATTTACATTATTCGGACTGTTATCCTCGTCTTCATTGCCATATTCACATATCACCTTTGTACGCTCCATCCTTCTTCAGGTGATTGGAATTTTGAACCGAACCCTTTATTTCGTTCTAGTTTCACGTGCCATGCCTCTTTCGGGTGTCTCAGTTATTTCCCTCTAACTCAACTCTCCAAGTTTTTGGTATTGAACTCACATGAACTCTTTGGGTCTAGTCACTGGATCTAACCAGCGTCTGTATCCCACCATGTGCCCTTGGGGGTCATCGGGGTATGGATTTCTGGGACTTATAAACCTAATGTCTCAGCAATTAATTTTTTTTTTTTTTACCAGTGCTCATATTGCAATTTTTTTCTGTTATTATTACTGCATTTTTACCAGAGCAAATATGAGCACTTGTAAAAAACGCTTGCTGAGACACACACACACATATATATATATATATATATATATATATTTGGAGGGAAAGTACATCTGAAAAGATTTAAAGGGTCTGCCGCTCAAACATCGTTAAGGCGGCATTCAAAAAAAGTTCCTGTTTTCGAAAATTATTTACCAAAACCAAACTGCCAGATAACATGAGCAAGAAGTCTGTATAACGTCACATGCAATTGTGGCAAGGAACACCAGAGCGAAATCAGCTGTTCCTAAAAATAAATGCAGAGAACCTTGGAAATTACGGACACATGCACTTAGAATCAAAAAGAGACAGTGGAAAATTTGGGACACAATGAGGAAAGTGATCTTGGAGAATTTGACAATCACCGGACATATTGAATGAAATTGATTGGTTGAGTCCTTCATATTCTATGGCTTATCAACCCATTGGTTATTTGAAGCCAGAAAATATTTTTAGATTGTAATAATTTTTTTTTTTTGGTGATAAATCTTACTAATTAACCCATAGCTGGGAGGAGAAGAGGTGGATTCATATTTAATCAAAATTCGATAAACAAGAAATTATAATGTGAATATAAAGTCAGGGATCAATTCTATATGACAATCAATATATAAACTAATCCCTCACTTTGTGGCCATGATAATTTCTATATATTTATATTCCAGAGAAGGTAAATAAATCTAAAAGACATGCCTGTGTAACTAATCAATACGTGATTGATTTCTTTTCGACAGCTTATCAACCCTTTGCAGGTTATTCAAAGCCAGAAAATATTTTTAGATTGTAAGAATTTCATTTTTTGAGATAATTGTTTCTGTTTTACTAATTAACCCATAGCTGAAGGGAGAAATGAATTCATATGTAATAATTTGCTAAAAAAAAATTATAATATGGATGTAAAGTCAGGGATCAATTTTATATTACAATCAATATATAAACTAATCCCTCATTTTGTGGCCACAATAGTTTCTATACATTTATATTCCAGAGAATGTAAATAAATCTAAAAGACATGCCTTTGTAGGTAATCAATATTTGATTGAGTTATTGATTGATTCATTTTCTACGGCCTATCAAACATTTGCAGGTTATTTAAAACCTGAAAATATTTTTAGATTGCAAGAATTTTTTTTGTGGTGGGAGATAATAATTGTTTAGTGATACATGCCTTACTAATTAACCCATACATAGTAGGAGAAGTAGTGGATTCATGCCTTTCCCAAGAGTAGTTGAGCGTAAGTGAATATAATGAACCCAATGGGAATTGGAACTCGCCTCTCCGATTAACACTCACGACTCGTTATCCATTATACCACCCGCATATTCAAGCTTACATCACCTGGTATTCCTAAGCGTTCACCCATCTAGGCATTGACCAAGTTGAAGTTGCTTAACTTCGATGATCGTACGAGAACTAGTGTTTCAACGTGATATGGTTGTAAGACCTTTATACAACCCATACATTCAAGTTTACAGCACCTGCTATTCCCAAGCGGCCACCCATATAGATACTGACCAAGTTCGATGTTGCTTAACTTCGTACTGGAACTGGTTATGTGATCGTAAGCCTTTTATTAAAGGAAAGAAAGAGCGAATAACCTACCTAACGAGTTTGTGCAAATGGATGGCAGAACACGGACTGGGGTGGGATTATAAGAGGATGAACATTCCTAATAGCAACAAAAGATAGGAAGACGTGGAGAGCCGTGATTGCCTATGTCTTGAAGGAGCACGGTACCTAAAAAAAAATAAAGATTAAATAATAATCAACCACGAAGTTAGGAAATAGAAAAAAAAATCATCTTTTTAAAAGTGTTCCTGTCGGCCCACTGCGGAAATCAAGGCCTTGGCAACGGGACACAAGCTCTACACACACAGAGAGGCTTGTGCGCGCGTGCAATGGCAACATTTCCCATATAATCGGATATCTGGAGTCTGTTGGAATTACAGCCTCCCCGAAAGATTTCAGGATCATCGACAGGGCTTCCTCTTCATGCAAACCAAACTTTAAAGAAGCCGCACATGTTAGAGAGAACAAATTCACTTTCGATCAGTAATTCAAACAAAACTGCGTGAAATGAATTTTCTTCCAAGTGAATGCAGTTCAAATTATACGGCAACTCTGAAATCAGGCTTGAACTAATGCCCAATATATTTTGTAGTCAGTACCCACCCCCCGTTCGGTTCCTCTATTTATCTCCATCTTTCAACCAATTTCCTAAACCCATTTAGTATTGGATATAAGAAAACCGAACACGGGATAGATTGCACGCCTAGTAGTTTTGTCCATGCTATAAAACTAAAATATTAACCTTTAAATTCGGGTCATGTTCTTAAACACGTTTTGAATAGTGCTACCGCATCTGGTCTGGTGCTCCTGCAATATATTGAGAGATTCTTGACAAAATCCAAAGAAGAATCTACAATGTTATTGGTCCTGAACTGGCATCTCGGCTTCAGCTTTTTTCTCACCACCGTAATGTTGCTTGCCTAATGCCTTTTCTATAAATACTTTCATGGTAAATGTTCTGATGGACTTTCCTCTATGGTAAGTTGTCATTTTATCCCCCTACACCGTCACAGACAAATTGTACATATGGGTTACTAGTTAGGACTTCATAGAGACTCTGAGGCATTATGGGGACTGTAGTAAGAATGATAAGTAAGAATGTGTTGTTTTGGTGTAAGGAATACTGTGGTATGTTTGGGTCAGTAATCATGGCTAGTTAAGTTTAAGATAAGACAGATTAAAGACCACATAGAGACTTTGAGGCATTATGGGGACTGTAGTAAGAATGGTAAGTAAGAATGTGTTGCTTTGGTGTAAGGAATACTGTGGTATGTTTGGGTCAGTAATTATGGCTAGTTAAGTTTAAGATAAGACAGATTAAAGACCACATAGAGACTTTGAGGCATTATGGGGACTGCAGTAAGAATGATAAGTAAGAATGTGTTGTTTTGGTGTAAGGAATACTGTGGTATGTTTGGGTCAGTAATCATGGCTAGCTAAGTTTTAAGATAAGACAGATTGAAGACCAACCTTCTCCCCTATCGCCCCTCTTAGCCTTGGGTCAGTAATTGTGGTCTGATAAGTTTAAGATAAGACAGATTGAAGACTAGTTTTTCCTTTTGGTTTTGTGTCATATTTCTGTATTTTTCAAAATAAATATTACTTTCCTCTACGGTACACAGACTTTATGAATTTAAGCGCAGTACTAGACTGGAATTAAGATTTAATCTTTTTAGAGTGAAAATGGCTAGATGTAACCGTAAGTTCTATTCTAACGTTTTCTTCTATCGCAATTCTAGTTTGTAGAACTCTCTTTCGGCTTCTTGCTTCTATATCAGCATTAATCTTTAAAAATTTAAATGCAATGTCAATCGTAATCTTCTGTCTTCTTAATTCTTGTTCTTTTATTGTTCTCTCTCCTTGATAGTATATTTTTCGCATATTCTCTAACATTCAGTGATTCCTTGCGTCTTAGTAGCTTTATCACCTTGTTTGGGGTGAAATGATTAAAAAAAAGAAAGACAGCCTCGTCTGATCTAGGTTCTCATATAGATATCACGCATAGTATCAAACTCGTACAGAAAGGTCTAAACTATCATCTATATACAATTTTCTCAGGTTAATGATTAAAATGTCTTCAACCGGGTGAATCCTTTACGTCATCAAGAAGACAGTCGTTCACAGACTATAGACTAGCGTCACAGGATCAGAGAGCTTTACCACATAAGAAAAAGTATATCACTTGAAAACTTCAAATTTGAAAGAGCGATAACAGCTAGTGGACCTCAGATGTCTCAGTTTCCCGAAAAACTGCTTTTAAAAGATTTTATGAAATTTCAACCGATGCTAACGCTGACTGCTAGCCGCCATATCACGTTGAAAAAACGGTTCTCGGCCAATCACCGAAGTTAGCCTGTGTTAAACGTGTTCAGTATTAAGATGGACTTTCCTCTACACTACCACAGACAAATTGTATATATGGGGACTAGTTAGGACTTCATAGAGACACTGAGGTATTATGGTACCTGTAGTAAGAATTGTAAGTAAGAAGGTGTTGTTTTGGTATAGAGGAAAGTAATATTTATTTTGAAAAATACAACGGTTGGGCACAAGGTCAAGGGGGTTGGGTAAAAACTGGTCTTCAATTTGTCTTCCAGGAAGTAGCGGTGTAAGGGTCAATGGCTCGGAAGATCTCGATATGTGGAGGTTTTTCTGGACTGACCGGTCGCAAGACATACCGGAAATTGGGTGAATTTGACGGTTGGATAAATTTTTTTTTTTTTTTATCTATCTGAGTAATAAATAAATAAAAACTGCTGGTGTCTTTTTGCTGTTTTCCAGGAAATACACGTTTACGACCATATCATGTTGAAACATTGGTTCCCGTACGATCATTGAAGTTAAGCAAACTCGAGCCTGGTCAGTAACTAGATGGGTGATCGCTTAGAAATACCATTTGCTTTACGTTTACATGCGCGGGTGGTGTAATGGTCAATACCTCGGAATTTTTTAATCAGCGAGTTGAGTTCCAATTTCAGTTGGTCCGTTATATTTACTTACGCGCAAATCCCCTTGCGAAAAGTAAGCTTCGCGTATAGTGTCCTTTTATAGTCCCAGTAAACAGAAATAGCTCTCTTAAATAGGAGTGTAACGAAACAAGGGGAGAGTATGAATCCCTCTCCTCCTCCTCAGATACGTGTTGATTGGTAAGATTTTTGTAACTAAAGTCATTATTATCTTCAAAAATATAAATGAAAATTGTGTACAAAATTGTAATGACGAAAGTACGCAGTTGGAAGCTTTAAGAAAGCTTTATTCAACTGAGAATACAAGGTCCGCGCGTAGTGTCCTTTTATAGCCCCAGTAAACAGAAATAGTTCTAGCAAAGAGGAGAGTAACGAAACAAGGGGAGACCACTCTTGAGTATACATAACAAAAGTATTTAGATTTCCGCATTGAATAGCCCATGGAGGTGTTGATATGCTGTTAAACAAAACGTCCCAACTAGGAAATGGATCTTATTTTCGTCGAAATGTATCTATAAAGACTGGTTTGAATGGTAACCTGAAGCTTAAATATTGGTGAATATGGCAAATGATTGAAAAAAAATCTGTCCAGTTAAGCTGTAACAATTTTTGCCTATTATCCAAAGAAATATGGGCTCAGACAAGCGTTGTTTAAAAAGACATAATACAATCGTTCGCTTAACTAATTCCAGACGGACAGTTTAAAAAAAATCTCTTACTGCCTTCAATTGGTCTAATTGCGAGTTGTACTTCTTCGTATCAATGGCTTGGCTCTCTGATGGTAACTCATACTTGAAGACGACAATTTCTCATTTAGTACAAGATCATCTTTAACGCTAATTTTCTTTCTTTTTTTTTAGGTTTTTTGCAAGAACATGACAAGATGCGATCTACTGATCGAACGCACCAGACTCAAGCCTTTACAGAAATTTAACTTTCTATGAAGAGATGGAAAGAGACGATAAATAATGTGACACTGAAATCCGAAGTTGCATTAGATTAGCAAAAAGATGCCTTTCAAAAGCTAAGCAAAGTATCAAGAAACAGGAAAATTTCGCTTGAAACAAAGAAAAGAGCGCTGAAATAATATGTAATAACAATCCCCCTGCATGACAGTGAGCACTGGTCAACGTCCTCACAGATGTAGAAGAGACATGAAACAACAGACATGTGGTTCCACAGAAGGATGCTGAGAATGTTATGGAGAGTGCATGTGAGCAACGAGGAAGTTTTGAGGAAAATTGGAACAAAACGGTCACTTATACGTAAAATCAGAAAGGGACATTACTGGCACACATTAGAAGGAGCGAGGGTTGGAGAATTTAACATTCACATGACATACTGAAGGCGAACGGGGTGGGGACAAAGGAAAATAGTGAATAATACGCCTAATGAGCATGTGTAAATGTGCCCTCCAGCAACGTTTGAATCCTGCTGGAGGACACATTTTGTTTAATAAGTTTTCTCGGGTGTACGTTTTAAAATAAAACGTTCGTCTATTCAAACACGGGTATCCGCTAAAAATAACGTTTGAAGTAATAAAAAATATGGCGGATTAAAAAAATAAAATCCTTAAATTATATATATATATATATATTTAAAAAAATAAAATCCTTAAATTATATATATATGTGTGTGTGTGTGTGTGTGTGTGTGTGTGTGTGTGTGTGTGTGTGTGTGAGTAAATTTTAACTAGCGCATAATTAAAAATGAATACTTTTTAATTTAGTATAAAAATTAACAGTCCGTTGTTGATATCTCCTGACGAGTGGCCAGAACGATTACAAAAAGTTTAACTACGAAACTCCAGAATATAACATCAATCAGCTAAGTGAAAAATTTTATTTGCATTAGTCCGATCTCTCTGTGTGTCTCTGTCTCTGTCTGTCTGTCTGTCTGTCTGTCTGACTCTCTCTCTCTCTCTCTCTCTCTCTCTCTCTCTCTATATATATATATATATATATATATATATATATATATATATATATATATATATATATATACCACAAATAAAAGTTTTGAAAATCTGAAAAGGCATATATCTTTTAATTGTGGCCGGACACTATTCTTCGAGAATTTATTTAGAAATATTAAGACTCTGCCATTTAATATGGAATTGAACTCTTTTTTTTTCGGAGTGCCTTTGTAACAGACTCCATCAGGAGTGGCTTACTTTATATAATTTATCTGCTCTGGTATAGGGGATTTTGAGGGCCAAGAAGTGTTGATCTCTATTTTCCTTTTAGCGTTAGACACCTTTGCTGAAACCCTATTGTTATCCCATGCTCTAGAGAAGTTTTTAGTAATGGTCAGTTTTCGGCGGTTCC